TGCAAAAGAAGAGCAATGGGGGACCAGCCCTGCCAGACACCAAAGCCTATCGTGAAGTCTCAACAATGAAGGCACTGGCACATGAACAGACACAAATTCAAGGAGGATTTAGTGTCCAGAAATAAGGCATCTGAAGCCAGGAGGGAAAGAGAACCAGTCAATTACTGGTGTGAGGACAACTGGATAGCTTTTTAGGAAAAAAAAAAAAAAAAAAAAAAGTTGGATTCACACCTCCTACTGAATGCCAGAATAAATTCCAAAAGGATCAATGGTTTAAATGTAAAAATAAATCCATAAAATATTAGAAGAAAATAAAGAAATTTTCCTTCAAAGTAAGGAGTGGGTAAACGCTTTCAGTCACTCAAAATCCAGAAACCATAAGGAAAAGAGCAATATTTTCAGTCAAAACCTTCTGTGTGGGAGTACCCCTATAGGCAAAGTCACAAGGCAAATTGCAAACTGGGAAAACACATGAGCAGTTCCTGTCACATACAGGGGCTAAGCCTTCCTCATTTATAGAAGCTCCTAGAATGGATAACTGCTCAAAAATCTGAGAGAAAAAATGAGCAAAGGATAAGAACAGCAGTTCACAGAAGAGGAAAAAGATGTTTAACTTCACTCAGAATAAAGGAAATGCAAACTGAAACTACAACCAGCATCTACAGTTTACCCCTCAGACTGGGAAAAGCCCAGAATGTCTCTCCCACCTGCTAGGAAGGCTCCAGCCATGGCAGGAATACACATCAAAAGGCACAACCACGAGTTACAAATCCAAACACCTCTGAGCAAGCAACTCACCACACAGAGATACTTGACGCAGGTGTAAAGTGATATATGTACCAGTTTAATTGAAAGAGCAAAAACAGGCATCTTCATTTCTTCAATAAGGACTGGCTACATGATTTATGGAACCATCGCACAATGAAATTCTAGCGGCTATAAGGAAAGGAATCAAAGGAAACTCTAGATGAATGGCATGATCTCCATTTTATACTGTTTACAAAGCAAGGTACAAAAAGCTTTTATAGTGTACTACCTTTTGCATATGAAAGAAAGGACTTGAGATTCTGCATCCTGCTCGTTTATGCAAAAAGAAATGCCGAAAAGAAATTATTAACAGCAGTTAGCTGTGGCCGGGGATTAGAAGAAACTGGGAGATGGAGAACCAGAAGAGAAAAATGGTTTATTACAGACATTTTTTTATGTACTCATTGTTTTGTTTTTAAATCACGGAACTGTATATTTCCTATTCAAAAACAAATCTGATTTATAAGTATAAAATTCTAGGGGGTGCCTGTGTGGCACAGTTGGTTAAGCATCTGACTCTTGGTTTCGGCTTGGGTTGTGATCTCGGGGTCATTGGATGGAGCCCCAAGTCAAGCTCTGTGTTCATTGCGGAGTCTGCGGAGGATTCTCTCTCCTTCTCCCTCCACCCCTCACTCCTAAAATAAATAAATAAATCTTTAAATAAATAAAATCCTAACTGTGGTAAGGACTAGGACAGAAAGGTGGATGGCACGTTGGGAGCATGTAATGGGGACCCTGAACTGTCTCCCTGAAGAAGGGGCATTTGAGCTTAGATCCCAAGGCTCAGGAATAACTAGGTGAAGAAGCCCGGGGTCAGAGGAGGAAGTGGCACACTGAGGGGACAATGCTGTGCCACTTGGTGACCAAAGAGCCACAGCCCATACCCCCAGCCTGGAGCCAACCCGGCCTCTCGAACAGTTAGACTTACTGTGTCAGAAATCGTAAGCTGGTCTCCCAACTCAGCAGTCTGGGAGTCCTGGGGCAGAAGAGGTCTCTCTTCTCACACAAAGATGCACAGACGCACAGACACACCCTGCTGCAGCCATTGGCTCCCTGCCTCCAGATCAGGAGAAAAGTAAGACCCGGCCATCACCAAGTCCTGCTGCAGGAGACAGGCCCTACCTCAGGGAGGCCCTCCTCAATTTCCCGAAGCTACTTCTCTTACCATTTCTTGGTGTCCTGGCCCAGGACCCTGTGGGGGTGGGAGGCAGTGCAAGTAGGAAGCAATGGGCACCTGCCCCTCCCTAAGCAGAGGAACAGAAGTGGAGCTGAATTGGGGCCCTAAGGCAGCAGCTCAGTCCTGCCCAGCACCCCCTGATCCTTTCTGCCCATCTCTGGGTTTAGGCTTACTCCCAGAAACTTACTCCCAGGGGATTACTGGTGGTAATACACTGAACCTACCCCAGGAAGGAATAGAGGGCCCTTCTGGACTGCAACAAACACCCACCAGGAGTTTTCTAGGGAGAACCTGGTCCTAGAACACATGGGCCATGTGGTCCGAGGGGTCCCTCTGGCCTGTATGTAGGACTGGCTGCCCTGTCCAGGCCCTCATTGGGACCCTGAACCTTCTCCCGGGGGTGGGCTGCAAATGAAAGGCAACAGCTAAAATCCCTGAGATACTAGGAGACCCAAGCCGAAAGTCCAAAGTTCACTTGGTTGAGAAAGTGCCTCGAGGTCCAGGAGGTTTTAAGGAAAACTGAAACTGTGGAGGTGAGCAGTGCAGAAGCAAGGGCTTGTTTGGGGCAGACTCGTAGCCCGACGTAGCTCTTTCCCAGGCTCCTGCACGGAGAAGCCAGGCAGGGTGACGAAGGGCTCAGCACTCCCACCGGAGCAGGCCAACAAGCAGAAAGCCCTGGTCCACCTGGCTTATCTAGGAATCCATCCTCCACAGCCCTTGCCTGCATGGTCAAAAGCTGCTCCCTCTCCAGGGATGCTCCAAATAGTTGAAGATATGACAGCTCAAGCCCTGGGTACAGAAAAAACAGGCGGAGAAGCCAAAAGAACGCTGGACTGGGAACAGGTATGGGTTCAAGACAGCTCCTTCACACCCAGCGCCTGAGATAATGGCCTTGTCTCTGGGTCCTGCCACCATACATGGGGAGCTGTAACCACTAAGCTGCTCATGCTGGGCAGATGCAGGGCTGGGGGAGGCTCTGCATCTCAACCCTCTGCAGAGAGCTGAGTTAGTATGGGGAGTATCCCTATCGCCAAGGAAAGATGAGCTCCAGGCAGACGTGGTGAGTGTAGCCAGGGGCACCCCCAACATCACAAGCCCCTCAGGCAGCCCCACTGGGCTCAGACTCAAGATAATATGCAGGATTCCTGCAAACTCCTTGCGGACTCGGGGAGAGCCACCGGAGGAGCAAGCCAGGCTGGGAAAATCTACTGCTGGGCTAGGAAGGCCAGGTCTCTCTCCCACTTCTTAAAAAATCCCGACTTTTCAAGCACTTGAGTCCCACCCCTGCCACCTTCTGCAGGGGTTTGGGGTGGGGGTAAGGGTTTGATGAGTCCTCTCAGGCATCCCTACAGCTGGGAACCATGGTAGCAAGCCGTGCCTCCAACATTCTCACCAGAACTTTGATTGATCTCTGGGTACTTTGGACTGCTCACTCCAAGATCCAGCTCTTGCCAAGCTCTGTGCTCACCCCAGTGGTCAGTCCCATGGGGTCCCTGTGTGCAGTGTTGGGCAGAGACAGGCCTGCCAGTGAGGTTCCCACACACCCACCACAGAGGCCCTCGTTAACCTCTCCAGGTTGGTGCCATGACTTGGGCAAGCAAGGGAAGCCGGGTAGGAGCCCATGGGGAGCAAAGTCTTAGCCAGGAGAGTGCCCAGGAAGACCCAGGAGGCCCTTCTCTTCCTCTGTTAAAAGGCCCCGTGCTCTGGGAGGTGGGGGCTTGGCCCACCCTTCCCATTAGATGGGTGGCTTGCCTCTGCCCCCATGAGAAGTTGGGGCTGCATCTTTCTGCCACACCCCCCACAGCACCTGCCTGCATCGCATGAGAAAAACTGCACCCCTTAAAAACAGAAAAGTCAGGAGTTAAATACACTAATTAAGCTTTCTCCTAGTTGCTTGTTTATAGATTACCAACTCAGAAGAGAACTGAACAGACTCAGAAAATTAGAAGCAAGGGCTGCTTGTCTTATATACCACTCAGAAATGACCCACTGCTGGCATTTTTCATGAGGAACTATGATTCACAGGATTCTGATGTGCATGCAACCCCTCAGGAATAGAACTTAGGTATAAAAGAGGCACATCCCTGCACCCCCAGCCCTACCCCTGTGTCCCCCACCACCAGACACACCCTGAGGATTTCATGAACAGCCTGGGTAACTGCATCTAGCAGCCTCTGCTGCTCCCGTGCCCCACCCCACCCCCACCCTGTACTTCCAGAGTAAGGATGGGTAGCTGAGAGGGGCCGGGCCTGTGCCCTGGCCGATAATACCAGGTCCCCAGACTTCAGTTTGCCACACACTTGAGCTAAAAATTTCCACATAAAACGCTTTTTGTGGGCCTGCCAGAGCCAGATGAGGAAAGAATGAGCTTTAGCAGCCTGGAATGGGGCGTCAGCGGCAGCATCTCTGGGGCTGTAGAGTCTCCCTTGTAAGAGCCAGGTCCGGGGCAAGGCCAGGGAGGAGAGGCCACCAGGGCCAGAGTGAGGCCCTCCCTTCCAGAGCGCAGGGGCTGCCAGGCCAGGCAGACAGCTCACGCCAATGAGAGGCCTCAGAACTCATCAGTGACTTTTTCCCAAGAAAGTTAACGTGTGTTAGGCTCCAGCAAGGCCAAATTTGGGGACACTGATGCAGAGAGATTTTACCCATCATCATCTTCCTTGTCAACCGTTGCCATTTATTTAGAGCCTCCCACGTGCACGGTGCTTCCTGCACATTCTCTCAGTTAATTCTCACAACCATGAAAGGTTTCTAGATAAGAAAACCAAGGCTCAAAAAGGCCAAGAAACTTGCCCAAAGTTACCCAGCCAGCAAGTGTGAGGAGAAGGATGCAGAGCCTTGGGGCGGTGGGACTCAGACCCCCCCCCCCGCCTCCTTCCTCACTCTGGCCCAGGCGCGGACCAAAGCCCGGAGCTGGATCCCCGGAGTGGAGTCTCCACATCGCCACCCCTACCCAGCCCCCCACCAGCGGTGCGGTCTGCCAGGACTGGCTCTCAAGGCCAGGCAGTCTCTTTCTTACATGGCCGAAGGGGTCCAGGTGGTTGTTTGTGAGCTTCAGCTTCTGGAAGGAGACGAGCTGCCGCATCCAGTGGGCCCCAGTGGCAGGAGAATCAGGGTGGACATAGAGCCTTCCTGGCATGGCGGGCTCAGCCTTCCCTGCCACCATCCTGCCAACAGAGCAGACAGAACCACAGCAGCTGATTACTCTGGGGTCTGGAAAAGCCCAGATTCCCTGCCCCCTCTGAGAGCAAATCCCCATAAACCTGAGGGGGGCGGGGTGGGAACCACTGCTTCTCCTATACTCTCAATTTAGGGCTTTGGGAGTTTGAGTGTTGGTCAGAGGAGAGCGTGCTGAGGAGGAGCTGCGACTCCGAAACTTTTATTTGATTGCAGTATAAAGAGAAAGGGAAGTTACAGACAGATGTGATTATTTACTTCAAAGAATGGGGCTAATCACAAATATATTGTGGGCAGATTTAGGCACTTCTGTATACGTGTTATCCTTTCAATTTTGAAATGTTATTATTTATATTATTTGGAGGGAGCGTCTTAGAGGACCTAGACAGCTTTCAAATTGCTTGTCTCCAATATAGTGTTTACCCCCAAAGAAATTAATTGGTAACTCTCCCCTCAGCTAGAGCCTGCTCTGAATGACAATTTAACCTGAAGAGAGAAGAAATAGAAACATGGCCCTTGCTAGGTCCTGGCCACTGAATCCTGCCGCCTCGGCCCAGTCTCTACTGACCAGCCCACTGTGGAGCCCCCATCCTGGCTGGCTGCTAATTCATTCAATCCCTCTCTCAACTTGAGCCCCATCCTGGGCTCTGGGGATAGACAGGGTACAGAGGAGGTAGCCTTAGGAAAAGCAGCCCAATGTTTATTTACCCAGCCCCTGGGTAAATGTTTATTTACCCTACAACCCACTTGTTTCTCCCAGCCCCTTGCCAAAGGGTCCCGTCATCCAACCACCAGGCAGCTGCCCCTCACTGTGGATCAACCGCTTAAAGGAAGGGCTCACAGCCAGACAATGAGCAAGTGGAAAAGCAGCAGAAGACTCCACAGACCAGGCACCTGGGAGCTAACCATCCAAATCAAGGTCCCTCAAGAAAATAGCTCCCATCCACCTCCTCAGTGCAGCCCAACCAGAGCCTGTATCCATCCAGCGTTGGTGTCCATCTGTCACCCCACAGCATAGTCACCAATCCCATCTGTCCACAGCTGGAGGGAGAGAACAGACTCTCGAAAGCCACCAAACAAACACTGCAGCTCGTTTCTAGCCCCAGCCCCTTCGGCAGCAGGTGGGCAAACATTTGTGGACCCTGCCAGCCCCTGCGAGTTTGGTTCCCAAGTCTACCGGTCCAGGCAATCCTTGGAACTAACTGGTGAGTCCCTGGACCAAACATCAGGTGGTGGGGTGGGGGTGGTGAGAGAAGACAGGGGATGTGAGGGTCCCAGATTCTTACCATTTGTTGTCACAGAACTTGTAGCGGTGGTCATCCGCAGGGACGATATCAATCAGCAGGATGTACTTGGTCTTGGGGTTCATGCCTGTGACTTTGACCTTGTAGCTGGGGAACATCCTCCTGGGGGGCACCAAGGTGTGAGGCAGAGGCATAGAGCACCAGGAGAGATGGCACACAGGGGTGAGGGGACAGAAGGCCCTATATCAGAACTGTAAGCTGGGTAAGGCCCTTCCCTCTCTGGCCTCAGCTTCCCCTTACACAAGGGAAAGCCTGCACCAGATGCTCTGAGCCCCTGGAGCTGTGTCTAGGAAGAGGGCTTACCTGGCTTCCCCAATGCAACACAATTCCCTACTATTTAGTCCTCCTGGCTGTGAGCACCTAAGGCATAGGAACCCTCAGGGTCACAAGAGAAGATTTCAACACCAACCTAGCTGCTTAATTTCGCTTCTGTCCTTTGCAGTCCATACACAACTAAAGTTCTGGGCTGCCATTACGGGGGCCAGAGCAAAAGACCTCAAAGTCACTGTAAGCTGCTTCTGTAATCAGTGGAGTGTCTCCTCTGGGCCTTGTCTAGGTAGAAACCCTCAGGCCTCGAACCAATTCACGGGAAAACAGGAGAGCGCTGCTAGGTCTTTGGATTCCTTTGGAGTGTTTAGCAAAAGTGTTTAACTGTGTGAAGACCTTGCCTGGGCCTATGCACACTAACGAGGACCAGGGAAAGTCAGTTCAGGAGCCTCATGGAGAAAAGCACAGATTCTAGAACCACTGTGCCATGAGCCCTGCCACTGACAAGTTGTGAGGCATTGAGCAACTTGCTTGGATCTCTCTGTGCCTTGGATTTCCTTAACTCTAAAATGGGGATATTGGCACCTATCTCATAGGCTGGTGTGTGGATTCACTGAGTCCATTTGTGACTCTTACCACTGGCCCTCACTGCACTCCTCCCTCCATAAACCGCTGGGCGACCGATCTCTGTGAAAATGGACTCACTAAAAAAATGGGACGTTTTCCAATTTCCATAGCCCTTGCTAAGCATGGGACCCTCAGGCTCAGTGACTATTCTAGAGAAGGGCTTCCCCAGACCCCCATTCACACACATGAACAACAGCACGTACACGAACCTACAAGGGCGCCGCTCTGCCCCCTGGTCACTAGACCCCTGATACTGGATCTCCCCAGAGGGGCAGACAGAGCTTCCTCACAATCCTCCTCCGAACCCCCACCCTTTCCTAGCTGATCTCCCACAAAGGTGTTTCCCCAAGAGAGAGGCCGATCCAAACCTAACTGAAGATGCTTAAGGTGTCAGGAAGCAAATCCCCTGAGCTGGGACCCTGCCCAACCAGTCCCCTCAAGGAAAGCCATCAAGTGGTCCTCTGCCTCCTCACTAAGCTGAGTGTCTGTAAGGGGAACCTCAAGAGAAGCTGCCCTAGACGCCTCAAACAGATGATTGGAGCCCCTCGTTTTGTCAACAGGGGTTTCAGCTTACCTGGACAGGACAGGGCTTCCAGAAGGGATCAAGGTCTCCATAAGCTGGCAGACCTACAGCAAGCCCCAGCCAGGACCCTGAGGTAGGAGGTTCAGTTCTACCCCTGGCTCAGCCCCAGCCTGCTCACCCTCTTTCTTGTGGGAGGAAAGGCCTGTGAGAGCACCGCAGTGAGCCAGGGACATGGGAGGTGTTTGGCCCTGTGTATGCGCGAGCGCATGTTCTTGAGTACACAGTGGAGTGCGCATGTGTGCATGTGTGCGTGCCTGGAGGGAGGAGGGAAGTTCTAGCAGCAAGTCTAGGGACTTATAAACCGTGTGGAAGAATTTGTCTCAGATGTCAATTGAAAGCATTTTCAAATGTCCACCCCACCCCCTCTCCAGGAACAGGGGAAGTGAGAGGGCTCAGGAACCCAGTCCTGCCTCCTGCTTACCAGTCAGTCCCTGCCTGGTCTCAGGGCACAGCTGCAGCCTGCAGCACCCTCTTTCCCAGCTCAGCCTCTTCCCTGATAGGCCTAAAGCTGAAGTGGGGACGGCAGCAGCTGCCTCACCTCCCCTCCTCCCTGGGGAAAGGCCAAGAATCCTGTCCCCTCCAGGCCACCATTTTGTAACTGTTACAGAAACTGCCACAAAATGGGACAGCCCTGGCTGTGCTTGGGCTGACCTGGCACCAGTGCCCTGCACTTAGCCTTAGCCTGTTTCTCCTGTAATCACTCCAGGTGGCAATGGCAGAGGATAGATATGGCTGCCCCCACCCCCTCCCGGCTCAGGCCAGTATCTACCAAGGCGGCCAGGAGAAAATGGCTTCTTGCCACTGGAATAGTCTCCCAAACCTAGACTGAGAGGAGGGTGAAGGACCCTGCCTCTCCCCTTCTCCTACTCCCTACTGCCCTTCATCTCAGCGGCTCAGGAGGCCAGGCTGACATTGGCTAAATGCTTTTTAGAAGGCCTATAAGCAGCCTTCGCTCAGCTCCCCCAGGCCCTGAGCTGGGGTCCTGTGATTTTGGCTTCTCCCAGAAGCTGACCATGGACCAGATTCCTGACGGAAAACACCCTCAGGGAGGTTTTGCCAAGACTTGGGCAGGGAAGGAAGGTATTCCCCAGCCTCTGCCTCCCGTGCCTACCAATTCCCCTCTTCTTACGGCAGGAGCCCCTGCGGGAGGGGATATCTGGTCTGAGAGAAGGGTTCAAAAGTCACTGCTCCAGGCTGAACTATTGAGGCTTAGTGAGTTCCACTGCTTTCACCGGAATAAGCATCTCCCCATCTGTTAGGGTCCAGATTGGTGATTGCTTCTGAGAACGCAGGCCTTGGGGACCCTGGGCACTATCATTTCCCCACCTGCAGGGCTCCAGTAGAATGAAGGGCGCAGCCGGGTAGGGAAGAGGCTGCGTGTGCAGGGGAAGCACACGGTCCACGCAGCCTGCAAACCTCTCCTCCGGGCCAAAGGGGGCTAAAGCTGGATCCTAGAGGCCCAGCAAGGGAGCGTTCACCAGGTGGGCATGGCTCTGGCCACCACAGCAGGATGGGTCTGGGAGCTGTGGCATCCTCGGGACTCCCCGTCCACTGTGAAGGCCCTCTCTACTGAAATCTATGAAAGGATGGGGCGCGATGTAAATTGTTTCTGTGATTTAGGACATAAATGTAGCTGAAAACCACCCCTGGAGCGGGGGGTGGGGGTGGGGGGAATGAATACCTCAGCGGGTCGGGGAGGGAGGGACGGGAGGAGAGGGAAGGGCTCGCAGCCGCCTGGCTCGCACTGTGCCCCGCCGCCCGCGCTGGCCGGGAATCGCTGGCTCGCCGGTCCCAGACACCCCGCGGCAACCCGCCCCTCCAGTCCCGCGCCGTCCAGCCCTCTCCCCTACCCCCTCCCTGTGCCCGGCGGGCCTCGCGTCCGCGCCCCTGGCGACCCCTCGGGGCTCCGGGCCCCGCAGGCAGAGCGGCGCTCCGGGCGCACGCGGAAACGGCTCCGCCGGGGAATAAACAAGCCGCCCGCCCCGCCGCCCGGGAGGAGATGAAAGCCGGGGGTTTCTCCTCTGATCATGAAACAGGCTCTGAAAGGGTGCGGGCTGGAGCCTTTATCTACTTCGTACTCGGAAATGGTTTTAGAATGAACTGCTAAGATAAGCTTCCTTGGACATTTCTCGGCGTGGGAGGCTTGCGGGGCGCGGGGCAAGGGATTCGGGGCATTGTGATTTTGGCAACAACCCCTCAACTGCTCGCTCGCTGCCGAGAGGGGACGTGCAAGGTCAGCTGGGCTCCGAGAGCCGCGGGGGCTCCCGGCTCCCCGGCCAAAGCCGTCGCCAAATTCCTGGCCTTGACCTGTGAGCCCCCCACCAATCCAGGGGAGTGCAGGGAGTAAACCGGACCTAGGAGACCAGCCAGATTCTCTCCACCTAGCCAGGCCGCCAAACCCCAAACCCAACGCACCAGACTTTCTCTGAAGGCCCGGAAACCCCAGGAGCCGCTAAATGTGCCTTCTCTTAAACATAGGCACAAAACCAAATCGTAGGGGTGAGAAGTCGGGAGAGGAGCTGTGAGGGGGGCGGGGAGGGGTGGGGGGTTGGGAAGGCACACAAGAGGATTCGCTTCTGTTTCTTTATTTGGGTGGTGCTTTGATGGGGGGGTATTCATTTTGTGTAAGTCTCTAGAGCTGTACAATTAAGGTTCGTTCATTTCTATGCAGGAATTTTCCACTTCAATAAAATGGACATTGAAAATTATATCCGTGTATATACAGATACTGTATATATCCGTATATATACTGATATATAACAGAATATATCAGTAGCAGAGCCCAGAGTCTGAAAGGAACCAGTTACAGGCAAAAGATGGGGTTCCACAGAAAACCCCACCCTTCTTTCGATCCCTAGTGTCTGGGAATCTTGAGAGAGATTTCTGGGAAGAGATTAAGGCCCATCAACCAAGGTTCAGTTTGCTGTAGGAGGGGGGCCTGTGTTGCTGGTACTGCCTATACTGAGACCAAACTTTCTAGAGCAAAATTATTTCTGAGAGCATGGCAAAGTTTCCTAATTTGTTCCCACTTTATACACACACACAGAGTTTTCTAATTCACTCAAAGCATTTTTAAGAAATATTTTCCCTGAGGTGGGAGGCAGGAGTGAGGGTGTGTGGAATGGATGCTGTTTGGGGAGATCAGTTGCTTCTCAGATTTTTTTTTTAAAGACACTTCCTTCTGATAGACTTTTGCTTTCAGAAAATACTTTAGAAAGAGATCAAAGGACTCTCTCCCCAACCCACTTTCCCAGTGTCTTCAACCCTTACTTGTCTTATCACCCACGCCACTGGGCTCTGACGCTCTGTATACAGAGCGAGGGCAATTGGCTTTGAAGCCCGGGATTAAGCTGGGCCAAATCCTTGCCTCAGAATAACAAACAATACAGGTTCAACAGGAGTTCTCATCGGTAGTTCATTTTTCAAACGCAAATTCACTGTCACTAACACAAGCAACATTGAACTCAGCAGGCTATGAAGGCTGATAGTGGAGATTTATCTGGTGGCGAAACCATGACCTAGGAGGAGAGCAGTCAAACGGTTAGGAAATTTTCATTTTTGGGACGTTTATATTTAAATTTTTGTGGAGCTCACTTTTATCTATGTTTGGGAGAAAATGCAGTTTCTCACATGTATCAAGCTTGGCAGGGATGTGAAGGAGGTAGAGAGAGGAGGGGTCTGCTCTCTGCAGCAAACGGCTTAAAACCTGCGAGTGCTGGAGGCTGAGAGGGACAGAAACTGGCTGGGAGCATTCTGGCCCCATTTTACACCTGACATCAGGGGTTACTGAGCATTTAGAAATTGATGTCTCCCTATGTGATTGGCATTTTATTCCCTAAATCAAATGGTTTGAGAATCCAAACCACTATCCAATGAAGGGGATGATCTCTCCTTGGCCTACAGACCTTCAAGGGCTTAAGGCAAGAGGCTTGTGACCCAAAGACAAACTAGCTTGAGAATATTCTGGTTCCCCTTCTCCAGGGCCTGCTTCTCCCTCAACCAGATAGCAGTGACCATGCCCCTAACCCAGCAGGGTCCCTACGGTAGAGCAACAACCCCACATTGAATGGCCTCTTAAATTAGCAGTAAGGGGAATTTCTCAAAGTTGGGGTGTTGTTCTGGGGGTGGGGTGTTGTTCTGGGGGTGGAGTGTCATCCACTTGACTGGTGCAGACCCGGCAACTGCCTAATCTTGCTTCTGTCTATAAAAGCCAAGTGCCTTCTCTTCTCTGGGATAAGGTTTATGTTCCCTCGGTTTTCCTCCAGCTTGAGCAGTCTAGGAATCTGTGATTCAAGGTTCAGGGGAACAGTCCAGGTCCTTTGCTAAGAAATGCAGGTGTCCCAGGAAGGGTGCCGGTAGAGATATGAAGAAGAGAACTGGGAGTCCTCAGGGTAGCCCAAACAAAGCAAGATGCCCCCCAAGGCTGCCCAGTCAGGGGAGGCGGGAGGAGGGGATCATGGGGGTGGGTAGAGCCCTGACTTTGGTCTCTGAGGTCAGCGAGCAGCTATGCAGGAGGAAAGAGGGTCTGTGAGAACCATGGGGAGGGGCAATGAGACTAGTGACTTTCTTAAGGACTAGACCTGTTACACAAATAACTTTCCGCCAGAGAAATGAAAGAGTGTGATGAAACCATAGTTGGCCAACTTCATCACAGCCACTTAAAAATTATCATCATTCCCTGAGGTCCATCTCAAGGATCAGGCACAAACATCTATCTGACGTTGGTCACCTATGGAAGTGTGTGTGTGTGTGTGTGTGTGTGTGTGTGTGTGTCAATCTGTCTGTTGCGGGGAGGGAAGGAGGAGGACCCATACAGATGCAGGAAACCCCACTAAGGAGAATCACAAATGCCTTTTGTTTTAAATAGCAGAAGCCAGGCTTGCCCCCAAGAACATGCTGGCCATTTATTTTCAAAAGACAAGGTTATTTCTGCTGCCTAAAAAGGAAATTCTGGAAATTTCTCTTTCTTCTTTCCTTCCCTCAACTCTAGCAGTCATAAGAAATAAATTCCCCCTCTTCACACCTATAATCCACTCAACAATTTACCATACATAGCTCACAGGACCCCTGGTTTGAGTCTCATAGTAACCAAGAAAGGAAGGATGGCAGGTAAGTCTGCAGTCACCAGCTCTGTTTTACCCAACACCACTGAGCCACAGGAAGCTTAGAGACATGTCCTAGTGCACTCAGCTAGGAAGAGGCAAGGCTTTTGACACGTGGCTCCCCACTGAACTCAAGGACTATTCTAAGTGGCACCCTCTACTGGGTTCCCCTCATGTGTCCTCCTTCCTCATCGCCCAAATGTAGCAAATTCAGGCTCTGATAGCCCCCTGCTTCTTCTCATGATAGCATCCCCAGGCACCCTTGCCACCTACTGGGGCAGGTGGCCAAGTGCCCAGACCTTTACCCCCACCAAAAAAAAAAGGAAACCTTGCATGCCTGCCAGGGAATGGACATGAGGGGCCACAGCACTCCTACACCACACTGCAAACCACAAGCTTTTTGTTTCTTTTGAACAGCCCACCGTTCTCTGAGCAGGTCAGCAGAGTTCTTTAAAAAGTAGAAGAAAAATGCTGAGCGGATGCCAGACATTTCTCTAATTACGATTAATTTTAGCTAGCATTTAGGGCACGCTTGCTTACATGTGCCAGGAGCTATGCTAAGTGCTTTGCATACAACTGTATGTATAGTTTTGCAGAGAGGGATGAGGAGAGGGGGATGAGAGAGTGGAGAGACTCTTGCCTGGGGGTTGCACAGATGCCAGCAGCTGCGGTCTGACTCCCCATTCCTGGCTATTGATGCTTCACCACCTTATTCCTCGGAAAACCTAATTACGGGCACACGGCCAGGCAACGGGACATTTCCACACCTACCCTGTCCCCAGGGACCAAAATCAAATGTGAGCAAGTGGGGAGGGGGTAGTTCCTACACCTGAACTCCCCAGCTTCTCTGTCTGCGGGTCAGTCCCCCTTCACTGATAACTGCTGGCCAAGCCCTTCCTGCCCCGCTCAAGACTCCCGGCCCCATCCAGTCTCTGGTCTTGCCCCCTCTGCATCTCCCTCCTCTCACCGTCTCCTCCAGGCTCTCTCCCACAGACACCAGCACATTTTAAAGATGTTTCCACTTTATAAATCATTATTTCTGGCAGCCACCCGAGAGCTGCTCCCTAAACAGCACACACACAGGGCCCAACGGTGCCTTTCCCTTGGCCGAAGGGGTTGCTGGCAAGAGAGGAACAGCACCCCTGGGATGAGAGATCTGGGGTTCATGCTGCCCTGGAAAAGTTACGGAAATAGGAAAACACCATCAGGTCCCCTTCCTGTTGAGGGCTATCTGTTGAGGGTCATCTCCGGGTCCCCAATCAATGCAATCCTGATAAACCAGGCAGGTCCCCAAAAGGAGGAGGACAAAGCAGCCCCCCACAGGGGCCGATAGTGCTTGAAGTGGGACCTCTGACCCCCAGATCCTTATTTGCATTTTATTTGCATAGAGCTGCCCCTCCCATCCTTCCATCCTTCTGGGCTTCCTAGAGGAGGAATCCCCTGGGTGAAGTTCTGTGGCCCGGTGGCAAACCATGGTAGGATGCTGCTGGGCTAAGGCCAGAGCGCCCAAGGGGACCCCCATTGCTCCCCTGTCTCCAGCGAGAGATGATTGTTAAGCAAGCTCCTGGGGATCCCCATCGCTCTCACCAGTCATCTTCCAATCCCCAAGTAAACATCCCAGAGCTGACCTGCCCGCCTTGGTGATGATCATCTCGGTGCCCGCCTCGTGGAATTTCTTCCAGAGCTCCTTCTCATGCAGGCCAACCTTGATGTTCTCGATGGTCTAGGGGCAAGAAGGAAGGGGACTTACATCGGCCTGGGATGTGGCTCCATGCGGAGCCCTGAGGACGGAGAACACAGACCCAAAGAACCATGCAGAGTGCTGCCAGCCCCAGGACTCCTTGCCTGAAGGTTTCGTTTCATAAAATTATACTGTACCATTGGTGAATTTTTCAAACTTTAAAAAGTAGCTAAAACCCACTCCTTCGGAGCTATAGCGGTCTGCAGAGGACACACACTGACTGTGTCAGGGTAGATGACACACTACACAAACATAAACACTCCATGTGGTGGGACGTAACCACAGGCTTGCCGACAGACACACAGACACAGGAGGGACGCCCGCACCCGCACACCCTATGCAGACCCGCGCAGGCCTAGGGCGTGCACAGACGGATTCCTTTCATTGTGATCATCAGGTTATCACCAAGACCTTCTTAGGGACGTCCCCACAGCGGCTCCCCGCTCGCACCCGCTGGGATCCGCTCTTCCCTCCCGGTGCCAGGCTTTTGCCCCCGCCCTCTCAGCGTCGTCGGAGCTGGACACTTGGCCCGGGCTCGCCCCGATGCCAAAAGGGTGCCCTCCGCCGCCTGTTCCAGAGGAGCACCGAGGGCGCGAAGCAGAAGAGGGACAGAAGGCAGAGTGTGACCCCTACTCCGCGGAGCAGAACACACAGTCCAGGACGCAACCAGATCCCGGGGAAGCGAGTCCTGTCCTCTTTGGGGCGGACTGGCAGACGCAGGCGGCCCTATAGAAAGACGGATGCCCAACCTCTGCCCGACGGCCACAGGCCCTACCTGCTCTGCCGCGGCGGCGGCAGCAGCTGCGGCTTCGGCGCCGGGGCCCGGCGGGCTGCCGAGCGCGGCTCCGCTGAGGCCCGGAGCAGCCAGCGCGGGCTCGGGAGCGTTGGCGGCGTTGGAAGCGCTGGCCTCGCCGAGCGCCGAGCCCGGAGCCCGAAAGGCCTCCTCGCTCTCCGACAGGCCCTTATCCTGCAGCATCTCCTGCGGGCACAGCACACACCGAGTCACATGCCTGGGTCAACACTCGCCAGAGGCCCCGCAGCCCGCTCCAGGCCAGCCGAAGGACTTTGGGCCCGGGAGGGAAAGGCCTCCCTGGCGCACGTGGACACCGCCCCCTTCTGAGCTGGGGGAGGGAGAAAATTCAGAGGGTAGGACCGTGGTCGCCTCCCTCTGGGTTCTGGACCTGGGAGGGTCTGTGTGCGGTTCAAGGTCTGGCTGGCCCTGGGTGTGGGGCTGTGTGATGAGCAGGTCTAGGGGAAGGACCGCCCTCTCGGCATTGCCCCAGCTGCACCCCCAGTCCCTCCCTCCTGCTGGGCTCCAGTGGAGCCTGAGGCCTAGGTCTCTTTTCACTGTTTCCTAATAACGGTCCAGGCTCACTGTTGGGTCAGGGCAGCCAGGAGACTTCCTGGGTAGGCACCAGAGGACAGCCAGGCCAGGAGGGCAGGGCCCAGGCTCCTGAAGCTCCACACCTGCAGAAAGGGCCTAGGGCTGGGCAGTCCCTCAGGTCCCCACTCAGCCATCTGCACTCACGCAGTCCCTTAGACACCAGTCAGGAAAAGACTTCTGAACCAAAGGCTTTTTCACTCCTGCCCATTCCCACTCCCATAGACACCCTATGGGTCCCTCCCACAGGCACATACAGCCTCACACGGACACAAGCACCGTCACAGAGCCTTCTAGTCCTTCAAGCAGCCACACTCTCCTAGTGCAGCACTGATTCAGGCCTTGAACTCAGCCAGGGGCCTCACATTCTTCCCCACACATTCACATGTGCTGGTTCACTCAGTCACACTTAAGCTCCAAAGGGCTCTGCTTTGGGGCAAAGAACTGAGACCCTTCCCAGCTAAGGACCAGGCCAGCTGTGTGGGTCCAGTTCACAGGCACGACCTAGTCCTGCTCCCAAGCACAGCCATCCTTCCCCAAGTGTCTAGAACTATTCACCAGGCTGCCCCAAGTGCCTGGTCCCTTCTAGAAGTTGGTCCTGGGATATCAGAATGAGAGCCCAGGCTGCAGGTCCTGCCTTTCCTGCCTCCATCATGGAGGCACCCCTACATTATCTCTGCTTCTCCTTTCCATCTCCCTGCTCTTCTCCCTTCTTTTGCATCTGGTGGGTCTTTTTTCTATGTGCATGGCTGCCTCTCTTCCTGTCTTATTTCTGTTCTCTTCTGGGTCTCCCTGAGCATCCCAAGGTCCAGGCCTCTGACCATCCTGCCCACTGGCCTCCCCATCCCAGGTCCTAGACATTGGCTCCCAGGGCCTCACAAAGTAAACAAGCCAAGTGCAACCGAGGGAGATAAAAAGGGGCCTGGGCAAGTTGGGGCTGGGAAAAGCCCATAAAGATAAAGCTGACAGCCCTCCCAATCCTCTGGCAACAGGCAGCAGGAAACAAGTCTTGCTGGTCATGGTTAGCACCAGTACCCGCCTTGGGCCACGTGCGGTTCCGAGCCAAGCCTAGGAAACCTGAAGCCCCAGGGCGAGGGGACACAGCTCAACCGAGGGGAGTTGCACGCTCTGGCCCAATACGCTGGTTCCAACTGTATCTGGGGTCAGCGGGTTGGTCCCCCGCGATCTGCTTGGGCCCGGAGGGCGCGCAGCCTGTTGCAATGCTGTTTTAGCCATTGGGTCCTCTACGGGGCACTTGTCACACCAGTAGCCATACAGGGCCGCTATCTGACTCGCTCCCGGCGCTCTCAGTCCTGTGCATGGAGCTCTTCCGCCGCCGGCATCCACTGACGCCAGTCCCATGGCTCCGACCAGGGACGAGGGCAGCACGGTGCTCTCCTTCGCTTCTTCCTTTTCTCTCCGCCCCGCAGACATATGTGGACATCGCGACAGCTGGCCCTCGCCCTGGCTGGAGCTCCCCGCCGATTTCCTTTTCTTCCCTCCCGGCTGGCCCAGAGTGGCCCCCATGGTTCTCCTCGCACCCCGAGCCCCGGCGCGAACTGCGCAGCCGGGTTCCGCACCAAGCGGAGCCCGCGGCCCGCGGCCTCCGCAGCCTCCACAGCCTCCGCGCTCGCCCCACTCTCCGACTCCTCCGTGGACGCGGCCCGCCAGCTCCGCGCCCTTCCGCTCGGTCTGCCGCTTTCAGCTAACTCGTTTTCTAAGGAGAAGGGCATTTTACTTTTCACTCTAGATTACTGATCATATTTTTCTCGCACTGGGGGAATTAACATTTTGTATTATTTTAAATATTTTAATTATCTCTATTATCAGCAGTATTCTGATCAGTTCAATGACATTAAGAATATCCTAGCACATTAAATTATTAGTACTTTTAATTTTTAATACTGTAAAATCAAAGCACTGGTTTGATTTGTTAATTCATCACTATCAAATATGTTGGTGCTTTCCTGTCACTTCTCCATCATTCTAGAGTCTCCTGGTACCTTAGTGATACTATTACCAATAGTCAGGTAATTATTAGATATCGTATTCCCATAGGTCATTGTAATCTATTGTTATTTTAATTTTTATTCTGTACCCCTAAAATGCTTCCGTTGCTGGCTCCTCGGTCTCTGTATTTTGTCACAGTTTCGGTAACTTGTTATCTACCATTACTTGTGATATTATTGTTCTCAATATTGATGTTAATTTTCTTCACATCCTTATAATACTTCTTATTTTGTCATTATTTGTTTTGTTAGAATTGTTCACAATATTCTAGGTATTCTTCATCACATCTTTATAATATCTTGTCATTATTTGTAATTGCGATCTTGATTCACTGGCTATTTTTCATCGAATCATTATTCCTTGTACTTTGTCAGAATTGGTGATATTGCTGTAGTTCCTAATACTCTGATTATTTTTCATCACACTGATATGGTTCTTCTTATTACTCTACCATTATTTATAATGTTGTTGAGACTATTAATACCTTGGTAATAAATTGTCATATTATTCCAGCAATTATTGCTGCTGTCTTTGTTTGTATTAGTATTGCTCTAAAGATTTTGATTAATATTTAGTAATTCATTAGAGTATCTACAATATATTATATGATAGTATTCCATCAGTACTACTAATATTAGTATTTCCCTTAATAGTATTTTCAATTGTTCACCCTTTTTCCATAGTTGTCATTTGTTACTATTTCCTATACTATTATTATTGATTTTAATACAATGGTTCTTATTACATTGTTCCTATATTTGGAGTTACTTTGTCTATAATCCTTTTAAATTTGTGATTACAATTTTCACTTGGTTCTGAAACTGACTATTCTTTTACTCTTGTTTTAAAGTGTGAACACTATTAGTTTTGCCCCTTAGCCCTGTTTCTTTAGTAATTGCTCACATTCTGATAGTTCTCGATCATCGATAATTATTTATATATAATGCTTCTTGCTTTAATTTTGATGAGCCTGTTGCATCAAAGGCTCTGAAGTCCAGGTTTCCGATCGCGCACTTTCACAACGATATCGCCGCAAGTACCCGGGCCCTCTTCTTGGCCTTTCTTATTCTGCAAACACCAGTTTCAAGACCACCGCTCCGCTTGTCACGGCTTAACCTTGTTCCTTTGGAGCTGGCGCTGTCCCTTCTTTGCCTTTGGGTCCCTAGACCCAATCCATCCTGTTATTCAGAGGAGATGAGGGCTCGCGCCCCAAAACGCGGGAAGTCCGGCCGAGGCGGCAGCCTAATCTGAAGCACATCTCGCCACCCTTCTGCAGCCTTGCGGGTCCCTGAGGTCCTTCTCCCGGTCCCGTTACTCGCTTCTTTTCCAGCTCATCCTCTTCTGCCCTGCAACCTAACCCTGGGCTCAGGGTAGCCCCTGTCCCGCACTCTCGGCTCACCCCCATCCCGCCGGAACCACACTCACCCTAACTGCGCTGCCGCCAGCGGAGGCGCCTGCCGCCCGAGGTCCACTGCAGGCTCGGGTCCGAGGGGCACGGGACGGCTGGGGCACTGACTTGGGGCCGCTGGGTCAGTGTCCCGCTGCCCGCCGCGCCCTCGGGGCCTGACACATCCCGGCTCTGGAGCGGGCCCTTGGATCTCCGACGCTGCACTTTGGGGCCTCAGCTCCCTCCTCCTCCCTCCCTCCCTCCCTCCGGGGCCGCCACCCCCCTGCGCTGACGTCGCCGCTGTCAATCAGTCCGCGCCCGCCGCCCCCCCGGGGAGGGGGGCTCGAGGGTCCCCTGGCTCCACGGGCCCCAGGACGCCGAGCCCTGAGTGGGCCTCGCACTCCCCCACGGCGCGGCTTGGTGCCCTCCCTGCGGCCCTCGGGCCCCGCCGGCCTGGCCGGGCTGGGAGCCCCGCATGGTTTAGATTAGAGGGGCGGGAAGAGAGAGAGCGGCCGGGCCGGGCCGCACTGCTCACACCAAGACTGGACAACGAGGACGGCACGCCGCGAGCCCCGGCGCTGCCCGCACACTGAGGCGCGGCGCAGCCAGGCCTGGTCGGGCCGGAGCCAACTTGCAGACAGCCGCCCTCAGCCGAGCCCCAGGCCGCGGGCTTGGCGCCCGCACACACCTCCGTCCGAGACCCGCTCCCAGCCGTGCACGCAGCGGCTCGGTAAGCCCACGTCCCGGGGGGACCGGCGCACAGCGCCTCACAGCCCCGCACTCGTCCACCGACCATGCCCCCAACACATTCTCACACCTACGCGCTCCGGCCCGCGCGCTCCTGCTCCCCCGCTCCCCGCGCGGGCGCGACGGCCAGGGCGTGGACCCTCTCTGCTCACCGGCCCCCCGGCTTGTCCGGGCCTGGCGGGCAGCGGGCAGCGGGCAGCGGACGCCGGACCCGGCCTGGCGCGCCTCGGAGTCAGCCGCGGAGGTCACGGGAGAGGGCAGGCCCTTCGCCCGGGCGGGGAGGAGGCCGGGAGGCCAGGCCTGGAGCCGCGGCAGCGGGGAAGTGCTGGGCCGGCTTCTGAATCTGAGCCGAGGCCTGGGCTTCAAGGTGCCAGGGCTTGGCAGAGTCCCTGGGGGAAACTGCGGCGAGGGCCAAGACTCCGCCAGCCGCCTCAAAATCCCAGAAAGCTGA